GGTCAAGTGAGGACACAGGTAGAACATAAGTGGTATCCAAATACCTGGGTTGGGGCTTTTGGGGAGGACAGGCTGTGAAAGAAACCCTGGGTCAAGGTTGACCTGAGTGTTTTTTTCTAGAACTAGGGTGAGACAGTGATGGTCACAGCCCCTCCATTTAATACCACTCTTTCCAACCCCCCACCACCAGACCCACTACCTGGAACCCCTAGTGTGGCAGACAGAATAATGGCCCCTCAAAGATGTCCACATTTTAATCCACTGGACCTGAGAATGTTTCCTTATATGGCAAAAGGGACTTGGTAGATGTGATTACATTAAGAATCTTGAGTTGAGGAGGTTGTCGTGGATAACCCAGGTGAGTGGGCCCAGTGTTATCACATGGGTCCTTACAGGAGGGAGGCAGTACTGTCACACTCAGAGAAGGAGATGTGATACTAGAAGGAGAGGTTGGAGTGCTGCAATTGCTGGCTTTGAAGATGAAAGGGGCCCACAAACTAAGGAAAGTGGGCAACTTCTAGAATCTGGAAAGGCAACGATTCTCCCCGACAGCCTCCAGAAGGAATGCAGCCCTGATAATACCCTGACTTTAGCCTAGTGAGAGTGATGTCAGACTTTTGATTTCCAGAACTATAAGATAATCAATTTGTGTTGTTTTAAGCCACTAAGTTTTTTTTATTATTATCAAAATTTATTGGGGTGACAATGGTTAGTAAAATTACATAGATTTCAAGTGTACAATTCTGTAATACATCATCTATATATCACTTTGTGTGTTCACCACCCAGAGTCAGTTCTCCTTCTATCACCATATATTTGACCCCCTTAACCCTCTTCTACTATCCCCCTTCCACCCTTGCACTCTGGTAACCACTAAACTTTTGTCTGTGTCTGTGGATTTTTGTTTGTTTGTTTGTCTTGTTCTTTTGTTGCTTTCAGTTTTATATCCCACATATTCGTAAAGTCATATGGTTCTCAACTTTTTCTGTGTGACTTATTTTGCTTAGCATAATAATCTCAAGATCCATCCATGTTGTCATAAATGGCACTATTTCATCTTTTGTTATGGCAGAGTAGTATTCCATTGTGTATATATACTAAATCTTCTTTATCCAATCATCTGTCGAAGGACACTTTAGCTGTTTCCATATCTTGACCATCATAAATAAAGCTGCAATGAACATTGGGGCACATATATCTTTACAGATAAATGTCTTTAGATTTTGGGGGGATATACCCAAAGGAGGGATTGCTGGGTTGTATGGTAATTCTATTCTTAATTTTTTGAGGAACCTCCACACTGCCTTCCATAGCAGCTGCACCAATCTGCATTTCCACCAACAATTTATGATGGTTCCTTTTTCTCCACAGCCTCTCCAACACTTGTTATTATTTGTCTTGTTGATGATAGCCATTCAAATCGGTATGAGGTGATATCTCATTGTGGTTTTTATTTGCAGTTCTCTGATTATTAGTGATGTTGAGCATCTTTTCATATGTCTACTGACCATCTGTATGTCCTCTTTGGAGAAATGTCTACTCAGGTCTTCTGGCCATTTTTTAATTGGATTGTTTGTCTTTTTGTTGTTGAGTTGTATGAGTTCTTTATGTAATTTGGGTATTATATATGTGTTATATATATATATATATATATAATATATAACATATATATATAATATATATATATATTATATATATATGGTATATTATATATAACAATAAACTGCATAGAAGAAAACATAGGTACTAAACTTATAGACCTTGGGTTCAAAGAGGATTTTATGAATTTGACCTCAAAGGCAAGGGAAGTAAAAACTAAAAAAAAAATGAATGGGACTATAACAAACTAAAAAGCTTCCGCACAGCAAAAGAAACCATTGACAAAACAAAGAGGCTACCAACAGAATGGGAGAAGATATTTGCAAACAACACCTCTGATAAGCCACTAAGTTTTTAGTAAATTGTATAGCAGGAACATGGGAAACTAATACGAGTCCATGTGGCAAGAGAATATTGAGATGATTCTTTCAGGCTCCTAAAGTCCTGGTTAAAAAATAATCCTAAAAAAAATAAATACATAAAAATAATCCTGATGAGATAACAGCTCCCCACCTGACCATTGTCCAATGATACCATTTTACTGCAGGAGAGCCCATTTCCAAATCTGGAAGTTTCGGGGCTGTTCACATTCAGACTTTAGTCACTATCAGCGACCCCATGGGGGTGTCTCAGTGCTGGGCATAGCTGTCCCTCTTCATGGGCTAAAACCTAGTTCTGGACTAAATGTATTTTTGACATAAGGAAAGGTCTCCATTTGGAGAGAAATCCCTTGATAGAGGCTTCTCCCTCACTAGTGACGGCATTAATTAAAAGATCATGGTGACTCATAGTGTGGTGGCAGAAATAAATGGCCAGCCTAAATAATTTCCATATAAGAAACATCAGCAAGTGTTAAATAGTTTTCAGGTATCCCTGGAGGAAGAGACTAGCAGCTGGAAATACTGAAGATAAAAATATAACCCAGCCTAACATCAATATTCAATGTTAACATTATTAGAAATATGTATAATTCCAAGCTGAACTCTGCAGTGCATTATGATTAACTTTATTATAAAACCTTTTATTTGCTGTCAAGTTAATAATTGCTTTGGTTTTATTTGTTTAGTGTTCTAGGTAACCATCACTATTTAAAATTATTTTTTTTAATTTTTAATTGGGGAATTGGGGGAGGGGAACAGTGCTGGGGAATTGGGGGAAGGGGAACAGACAAGTTGCTATCCATTTTGTTCTTCAGTCTAGTTGTGGAAGACATCGCTTCACTGGCCCAAGTTGGCACCATCATTGCGCTCTTCCTGGGCGAGGAAGATCAGTCGCCAGCTTCTGGACGGCTGCTCACAGCGGCTGCTGGCTGCTCACACTGGCTGCTGGCTACACATGGTAGCCCATGGCAACCCACTGCAGCAGGGGGCTGCAGCCTAAGCCATCGCCGGTGACTCACGGCAGCCCAGCTCCAGGTTGAGCTGTTGTTCAGCACCTTAGCTGTACAGGGCAGTGTCACTGGCCCTCATATGTGGGATCCAAACCGGGGCCCTCTGGCATCCCAAGCCAGCTCTTAACCAACACGCCACTCGGTCGGCCCACTATTTAATTTTTAAACTGAAGTATAACTCTCCTCTCAGGAAGTTCAAACACATGAGTGATGTATATGCTTTATTTTTTCTTGGTTACATCTCTTCTGTGTCCCTCTGTCCTCCCACTGCCCTCTGGACTTGCTCTGCTCTAGGCTTCTGCAACAGTTCTTATGCTAGATTAGTTCTATTTTGGGGTTAGGAGTACTGGATTGGCTAAGAATTACCCTAAAAGAAACTGTTTTGGGGTATATGCCAGTTCAGATTTTTTTCCTGAAGAGATTTTATAGCCTCAGTTCATACTGGGAACATTCTCAATCATTTAACCTCAACTCCTGATCAACACCCAACATATTTAACTGGTAGTGAGTCAAGTAGATCTGGCAAACAAAGATGGCTGGTAGGATCTCAAAGTGGAGATAAGTGAACACAGACCTGAGAAAAAGAAGCTGTTATTGATGCCCTGACAGTAGCCCTGACCCATGCTATATGAGGGGCTTGAGTCCACACAAGTCCCTGGCCAGTCACCCCAAAGGGGCAATGTAGTGGGAGCTTTGGCCCAGGTAGGGAGCCACAGTATCAGCTGAATTTCTGAGGCCAGATAAAGAAATGGGGGACTATGGATTAAAAATGATGATGTCACGTTGAATATTTTTTTCCTCGTTTCCTAATTTCTTAGCCAATGGTTCTAGAGCATGTCCTCTCAAATGAGGGTGGCAAAATATTAGATGTTACGATGGTTAGTGGCCCTCCAAAAGGCCACAGTCCATAAACAGATACGCAGATATATCCGTGACATTAAAATTTTATGGAGAGAGGGGTGATTCGGAAAATTCATCTAAAAAGAATCCTTAGGAGGACAATAACAACAACAACAAAATATTGAGCAGTGCTAGTCTAGAGAAAGTTGGTTTTGATTATTGATCTCTTCACAGTGTACTTTTTAATGTATTTTATTTGATAATTGAAATTTGAGTCAAATGGAAACGCTGATTGTTTTTTGTTGCATTTATGATTGGAAAAATAATTTCTACAAAGCCAGTCTCATCTTCATTAGGACCCTTCAATAGTTATGGCTCAGGAAGCAGAAGTAGAAACAAGGAACCCTGGAGTTACCTATTAGTAATTGTCCAGGTTTATAAAAACCAGAGCATGGGGGAAATGCTTACATATGAAATTTACCCAGGCATAAGACGAGGAATGGGCTGTACTTGCTTCCAGGACCAACTTGGCGGTGAGACTACTTATATTCTTAGCAGTTGCCTGGAATAACATCTTAGTACTAACAAATGGAACTCTTCCATGATAAATTGTGGATTCTGTGGGTGTGACCTAAGGACGCTAAAACTCAACTATACTGCCACCTTTGAAAATATTATAGTAAAAATTGTCTAAGGTTAATGGTACATAATCATCTGTCAGAGGCAAACTTGGGAGCCCTCGGGTAGAACATTGGGTAGAAGAAGATTGTTAGAAAAGGTCAAGCTGTGCTCAAACCACAGAGGTCAGTAAACTCTTTCTGTTGAGGACCAGATAGTAATTGGCAAGTGGGATGTTTACAGCTGAGATGATGAGAGCACAGACACCATCTTGAACCCACAGAAAGGTATCCTGCCCTGGGATGATCTTACTGCCAGCTGCAGGCTCCTTCTCCATTTATGCGGAGAAGGCTTCGAGTTCAATGGAGAACCATGAGGATGAGAGCCATGCCCTATGGATGGCTGAGTGGTAAGGCTGGAACACTTAGGTCCCCAAAGACCTGTGAAACAGCCACTATGTCAGCCCCAGGCTGCCCATCTCGGCTGTACATAAAATTTCCTGGGGCAGAGAGACTGGAGGAAGAGGCTGACAACTCCATCATTACATTAAGAGTTTATTAAGGGAATTTACATATGAGGCACAACTTTGGCAGTGGCAAGACAACAAGAATACCCTCTCCACCTTCCACCCCCAGACTCTGTGTTTTATAGTAAAAGCAATGAGTCTACATGCTGGGAAAGGAATTTGTGTTTAATCAAAGGGGAAAGAGATCACCAGGTCTGAGAGGCTCTGGCACCAGAGCTGGTTAAGAGTCAAATAAGGTCAATGGCATCTCACTCCAGAGGCAGAGCATAGAGTTCGTGTGTACATTCACAGACCCAGGGGCGGGGAGCAGGGTCCAGGCTTCTTCCAGGAGTCAAGATGGCGGATTAGCTTCAAGACAGAGTCAACTCTGTCCTCACACTCCACCCCTCAGGTCTGGCTCTTAAAATCTCATGTGCCCACCTCTTCCACAATGTTCCCCGAGCCTTAGAGGGGGCACTCTGGGTGACACATTATATTAATTTTTGTTCAGCTTGCAGGCAGGGACTGCAGCAACAGTAGAGGCAGCAGCAGGCTAGGATGCTTATAACTAGTATAAAACAAAAGATAAAGAATAACTTTTGTCACCATATCTCCTAAGACTCCAACCATGATGATAACCACTGGGAAAAAGAAAGCCCGGGGTTTGACAAGATGCTTATCTGCTGATGTGTGTACTGTAAAGCAAGGGTGGCATTGCCCGAGTTCTCAGGAACGTATGCACAACATTGAGTTTTAATGATGACATAAGTCCCACCTTGAGCAGGTGTTAAAACATCCAGTGCCATGTAATTTTGTAGCACATCTTTCCTCATGTAAACCATTTCTGTGTTAGTCAGAGAGATGCTCTGGAAGCTGTCGTTCACCTCACGTCGGATGGAATTAGTTGAAGCTTCTGTATGACAAGTGGTATCTTCGATATCCAGGGAAAGCACAGATATAGTTGCCTGGTGGTCATACCAGTGGAAAACACTTCTTGTCCATCTACTAGCCAAATGTGTGTAATTTACAGGTTTAGTAATTGTTTTAGTCCACAGTCTCTGTACCCAGGGAAAACCTAGGGTGCATTGCCCAAGCCTGTCCAGGGGCAGCCATGGTGATAGGTTGGAGCCACAGAGCCATTCTGTTCCATTCAGTGCCAACCAGGCAATGCCAGAACGCTGAGACCAGTCAGTAGCAAACCAGTCCATGGTTTGGAGAGTAAAGACATTTTCATATTGCTGTCTAGGAAGCCAGCTCATTTCTCTGGTACTATTAGCCCATGAATCACGTGTGTGGTTGGCTTGTTCCCAGCATACTGGGGCAACTTGGCTAAAATACCCTGCAGTGGGTGTGAGCCAGATGAAACCATCCCAGATTTGCAAAGAACCTTCCTTGTAACGATAGTTCTGGGATTTGATGGCAGGGAGCTTGACTTTTGTTTTTTGTAACTGAGAGGTTTCAAGAACAATCACCTGTTTCTCCGGGGCATTGACAGAGAAAGGGTTGCCATGTCCTGTGTCATTAAAAGAGGTACTTATATGCCCATTGTATGCATAATCTTTAGTAAACCCAGTGTTAAATGTGGTGCTTCGGCTTTGAAGAGCCCTTATAAGTACCTGTAATTCCAACCAATCAGGTTGTACGGATGATACCCACCATGACAGGCTGGATGTGCTGGAGAATGGCAACACACCATAGATCCAGCATACGTCTTTGTGTAAGCGGTTGGCATAACTTTGAGCCCAGGGTAGGAAAAAATTCACTTCTCCACAAGCAGGGAGGAACAGCATCAGGAACAAGAAACTATGGGCAAAAATACAGATGTTTAGTGGGTACACGACGGCGGAGATCCTCCCCTGCAATCATGACAACAGCAGTAATTTCATCCTCATTAGTTAAAGTGTATGCAGCTTGTGGATTTGGGGCAGGCCGTGCATACTGGGCGTGTTGCCTGAAGGACGAGGGTGCCAGGATTATTTGTAATGTGAGAGGGGTCGCAAAAGACCATACTTAATGGCCTGACTTGGTGCCCTTTGGTATTGGTCTCTGTACATTGTACTGGTACACAGAGCATTCAGGCCCAGACACCAGCAGGGTCAACAAGGACCACTTTAGCTGGCTCGGACACCTCTCACTCGCTGGCAAGAAATATCCTATCCAACCTGGGGGAAGTTGCCAATCCAACCCCCATTCAAATGTCCACCCCTCCCCCTCCCCTGCCCCCCAATTGACATCTCAAGGAACTCTGAATAGCAGTTGACATTGACCCCTTTTTGGCTCTGGCACCTGGGTATCAGGCCGCAGCTTTTTAACAGACATGGTCAGTGGAACTGCCTTTGTAGTCATTCCTAGGTACTGGTAGGGAGCCAACCCCGTGCATATTGGCTCATTTTATTTTCCTAACACCTTGACAATGACCTTTGCCCACCCATGCAAGGTAGAGGATTGTAAAAGGGCAAACAGCTGTGCCTTTAAAATACCATTTATTCATTCAATCAACCCAGCACCTTGTGAGTTATAGGGTAAATGAAATCTCCATTTTATGTCTCTCTCACGGGCTCAATCTTGGATATTATGTCTGATGAAATGTGTACCCCAGTCACTATCAATGCTCCAAGGGTAGCCATACAACACTAAGTTATTCTAAGCCCTTAATTGTGGCTGTTCAGTTTGCTCCTTTGCAAGGAAAGGCTTGTAACCATCCTGCTGCAGTATCTACACATGCTAAGGCATATTTCTGTCCTTGGCTCCCTGGCAGAGGCCCAGTGTAATCTACCTGCCAGTCTTGTACAGGGATGGATGCTTTGTGTATATGCCATAGTATGTGTGGGATGCCACGGGGGCACAAGTGAGAACACACTAGGCAATTGGTTACTGCTGCCACTATATCAGCATAACAGGGGGCAATGCAGCCCCCTTCATTATCCCACCCGTGTATTCTGGTGCCTGCTATGCTTGTGTACCCAATCTGCTAGTTGTTCACGAGGGAGCCTGTGTCCAGATCTTTTCTAGTACATCAGCCTCCATATTTCCAGGAGGCAAGTCAGACCAGTGAGCAGAGCCAGGCTAGAGGTTGACTCCTGCAACCTCTCCCAGATTTCCTATCACACTGTAGGCTCCCACAATGGCTTTCTTAGTACTCGCCAGTTATCATGAGCCCATTGTGGCAGCCATGTCACAAGACACTGAAATACAACCCAACTGTTTGTACAGAGGACTATAGGCCATGGTTCATGTGCACATACCAGCTATGTGGCTCTTAGTTTTGCCCACTAGTTATTCCGTTTCAAACCATATCATGTCTGTCTGGGATTGTATGGTCACCACAGTTCACACACAAGGATTACCTCAGCCAGACCTGTCCGTATACCACGCTTCTTCAGGAACGGAAACTGTGCCTTCTTTCACTGATGAGGGCATCTCTTGTGGGAGCTCTACAGTGGGGGCTGAAGTGGTCTCATAATACACTGGCCCTAAAATGACATGTAACCTATTGCCTAAAGTGCTTGTGGGAAGGGCACTGAGCTGCCACTTCTGCAAGGAGGGGGCTTGGGCAACAGCTAAAGCAAGCATTGCAAAATATTCTTCTATCCAACCTTTACTTGGGAGGCCTGTCTGCACTGTCACCAGTAGAGCAGCAGAAATATTTTTTGCAATGCTTTATACACTCCCAAGACCTGTTGTTCAATGGGGGAATAATAGGTCTCAGCACCCTTCCATAATTGGGACCAGAACCCAAGGGGGATGGTTTTCCCTTGTTAGGTTTGACATAGGGTCCAACTAGTTCCCTTGGGGCTTACAGTTACATCCAAAGACATGAGTACCCCAGTAAGGGGGGGAACTCAAGGCTTGTGCCTGGGCTATTAGGATCTTTGCTTTCTCAAATCCAGCTTCCTGGTCACCCTCCTAGTGAGAGCCTTTCTTTAGCAGTTGATATAATGAGTACAAATACTGAGCCAGATGGGGAATAAAAGCCCGCCAGTATCTTAAGAAGCCTAAAAATCTTCATAAGCATTTCACTATCTCAGGTGTGGAAAATGCTGTTCAATGGCAGTACCCAGTATGAGATGCATCTTACCCGACCAGGTGACCTCTAGGAACTTTACAGCTGGACCCGGGCCTTGTATCTTTTGTGGACTGATGGACCATCCTCTGGCTTGGAGATGGGCAAACAGGATGTCCAGGTATTGCTGTAATGATTGCAAATCTTCAGAGGTTAGCATCACATCATCAATATAATGAAACCACTTGACATTGGGAGGGGCGAACACAGAGATAAATCTCGAGCTATCATCCCATGGCATGTGGAAGACATACCCCAAGTGGGAAACACATTTTCTAACAGTTTCTTGGCTGGAAGCAGGAGGACGCTTCAACCCATTTGGAAAACATACACACAACAACAAGAACGTATTGATAACCCATACTAAGTGGCAGTGAATGAAGTCCACCTTAAATGCACTACAGTGGATTAAGGAATGTATACACTTAAATGGGGTTTGTCCAGGAGCTTGGAAAACCAAGCAGCCATCTTGGGTTTTCCCATAACTCCAACTATTCATGTAATTTACAGTCATTGTTTACCCATCTTAATTTCCCTGATTCAGGAGCAGACCATTGCCATGTCACAAGGACATCAGAATGGCAAAAGTCTGGCAATGAGGGGTCATTTTTGCTAAAGCAGAATAGACTTCATCCACATGTACCACAATCTTTATAGATCGTGTTGCTGGTGCCCTTTTATGAAAGTCAGCTAGGGCATTTCAAATATAGGAGGTTACCTTTTACTATTGAGAAGATTCAGTTTTTTTAAGTAATCAAAGGCCTGATTAAGAAACATAAAACACTGTAATATCTTATCAGCAGCAGACCCACTGTTCAATAAAACTTTGTCCTTTTTAACAGAGAGAAAGAAAACCAAACTCTAATTTTGTATCAGCTGACTTTTAATATTTAAGCTCACTTATTTAATTAAGTCTATTTTAATCTTAACAGGTTACCCACAAAACTTCATGAGACTAAAGCCATGTTTGTTTTAATTAAACCAACAAACTTAAACTAACTTTAATATCAAATATTTTTTTGGATCACATGATCCTGAAAAGCATTTGAGTTAGTTTCTATATTTTTGAGAATTTTGCAATACCCAAACCCTACAAGTACTTATTTTTTAAGCCAATTACATACAGCTCTTTTACAAGTTAGCAATACCGTCCAGAGGTAGAAAATAACACACAAATACAACATATATAGAGACCCACATGAACATACAAACAGATGCAGAGACCTCATGGCTTTCATAAAAGACGTGGGATCTGTTTAAAGGACCTTTCCTCCTCCACAACCTTTATCGGCCAGTCCCAATGCTAAGAGAGTTGCAGACATTCTAACATATTTCCCTAGTTTCTGTTTTTCCTCAAATTTTCTAACCCTGGCTTCTGCCTCTAGCTGGACGTCAGTGGCGAACCCAACGGCGCGTAAGAGGGACCAGCCTACAGCTGCCGCGGTAAATATTTCTGCCTACTTCCGTGCAGTTCAGCAGACAAGTGCATGAGACCAGCTGGCCTTTTTGAAGTGTCCCCGTACTCATGCTGTTGTCCACATGTATCTAGCAAGGGGCCACCCCTTTCCACATGGAAGCAGATGGCCAAGTCGGGATTTCCACTGAGGATGCCTCTTTCCCAAAGCCCATTTCTTCCCTCTCTTGGCTGACTCGCCAGTCATTCATAAACCGAGACCCAGGGAAAAGCCCCGAGGCTGAAAATCTACCTCCCTAAGCAGAAGGCAGCGAAAAGACCAAAGAAAAAAGGTCTTCTACTCCAGCCTGGTAATCCATAGAGTTGATTAAAGGAACTTACATACTGAGTGAGGCGCGTCTTGGGCAGTGGCAAATGACATGGATATGCTCTATACCTTCCACCCTCCCAGACTCTTATTTTATAGCTAAAAGCAACTGGGAAAGGAATGTGTGTTTAATCTAAGGGGAGGGAGATCACCAGGTGCCTGAGAGGCTCCGGCGCCAGAGGTGGTTAGGAGACAGATAATGTCAAAGGTGGCCTACTCCAGAGGCGAGCATAGAGTTGTATACATTTCCACGCCCCGGGGCAACAGGAGGCACATTTGGGCTTCACCCAAGAGTCAGGATGGCAGATTAGCGTCAAGACAGTCAGCTCTGTCCTCACCTTAGGACTTCCATACAGGAGAGAAAACTCTCCTTTCTCACTTAGGTTATTATTTTGCAGCTGAACCTAATTCTAAGTAATATAAATGTAATGAAAAATAAGCCAGAGTTGCAAAATTACATTGGCTAAAATAGAATTGGGGGCTAAAATGATAAGCAGTAAGAAAAAAAGGGCAGTACTTGATAATAAAAAGAGTGATCCCCTTCCCCGCCCAAATCGTGAAGTTAAATGCACTTATATACATATATATGTATATATGTATATATGCGTGTGTGTATGTGTGTGTGTGTGTATTTAAGTAGACTTTATTTTTTGGAGCAGAAAAAAATGAATGTAAAGTACAGAGATTTCCCATATACCCTATACCCCCACACATGCATAGCATCCCCCATTATCACCATCCCCCACCAGAATGGTACATCTGTTATAGTCAATGAACCTACACTGACACATCATCATCACCCAGAATCCATAGTTCACATTAGGGTTCACTCTCGGTGTTGTATTCTGTGGGTTTGGACAAATATAAAATGATGTGTATCTACCATTCTAGTATCACACAGAGTAGTTTTACTCCCCTAAAAATCCTCTGTGTTCCATCTATTCATCCTTCCCTCCATGTTAACCCCTGGCATCATTGATCTTTTTACTGTCTCCATAGTTTTACCTTCTCCAGAATGTCATGTAGTTGGAATCATACAGTATGTAACCTTTTCAGATTGGCTTCTTTCCCGTAGTAATACGTATGCATTTAAATTTCCTCTGTGTCTTTTCATGTCTTGATAGCTTATTTCTTCTTTATGGTGAATAATATTCCCTCGTCTGATGTACCACAGTTTATTCATTCACCTACTGAAGGACATCTGGTTGTTTCAAGGTTTTGGCAGTTATGAATATGGCTACTATAAATATCTGCAGGTTTTTGTGTGGACGTAATTTTTCAACTCTTTTGGGTAAATGCCAAGGGGCATGATTGCTGGATTGTATGGTAGGAGTAAGTTTGTGAGAAACTGCCAAACTCTTCTCAAAGTGGTTGTACCATTTTGCACTCATACCAGCAATGAATGAGAATTCCTTTACTCCACTTTCTCACCAGCATTTTGGTATTGTTAGTAGGGTTATTCTAATAGGTATGTAGTGGTATGCCATTATTGTTTTAATTTGCATTCCCCTGAGGACACGATTTGGAGCATCTTTTCATATGCTTATTTGCCATCTATATATCTTCTTTAGTGAGATGTCTGTTAAGGTCTTTGGCCTTTGTTTTTTTTTTAGCTGAGCCATCCTGCCACCTGTTGGCAGCTCAGTGGCAGCTCAGCTTGGGCCAGGCATCGAACCGCTGTTGCTCAGAGCTCACACTCTTGAGCGAGCTCTTAACCAACTGAGCCACTCGGCCAGCCCCCCCCCTTTTTTTTAATCCAGTTATTTGTGTCTTATTGTTGAGTTTTAAACATTCTTTATATATTTCGGATAACAGCTCTTTGTCAGATATGTCTTTTGCAAAGGTTTCCTTCCAGTCTGTGGCTTGTCTTTTCATTCTTTGACAGTGTCTTTCGCAGAGAAGAAAATTTTAATTTTAATGAAATCCAACTTATAAATTCTTTCTTTCTTGGATCATGCCTCTGACATTGCACTGAAAAAATCATCACCAAACGCAAGGTCATCTAGGTCTTCTCCTATGTTATCATCTAGGAGTTCTATAATATTGCATTTTATATTTATGTCAGTAATCTATTTTGAGTTAATTCTTATGAAGAGTGTAAGGTCTGAGTCTAGATTCCTTTTGTTTGTTTGCATGTGGGTGTCCAGTTTTTCACTATTAGTTTTTCACTAATAGTGCTCCATTATTTTGCTTTTGCTTTTTGGTCAAAGATTGGTTGACTGTATTTATATGAATATATTGCTGGGCTCTCTATTCTGTTCCATTGATCTATTTGTCTATTTTTTGGTCAATATCATATTCACATGATTACTATAGCTTTATAGTGTGTCTTATAGTCCGATAGTGTCAGTCCTCCATTGTTCTTTTCCTTCAATATTGCACATGTTATATTTTAATATACTCCTATCAGACATGATAGCTCAAGTGTACTAAAAATAGTACTAAATACACAGAGTATAAATATACAAAAAGTGACCATGTATTGTGTCCTAAAGTTTATTCTTAATCGCAGACAACAGACTCTACTCAAGCTAACTTGAGCAGAAAAGAATTAGTAAGATGTAAGTAGTTCTTGATTCTCCAGGAAGGCCAGAGAGCTAGGCTTGTAAACCATGTAGCCAGCATTGAAGTGGCCAGGGCCCACACAACCAGGACAAATGCCTAATTACATCATGGTAGGGCCCTAGCAGAAGCTTCACTGCCATCGCCTCTCCACCTGCACTCTGCACCTTTGACAGTAGGGGCTAGATGCCAGTCAGTGCTCCCTGCATAATGTTCAAGTCTAGTGCAGAATGTCTGGTTGGTGGAAGCTAGGGAAATCAAACCACACTCAAAAAGCCACCAGCCCAGAGAATATTACAGACAAACTATCCCACAACTTCATAGAACAAATAAGCTCTTATAAATTTTTCTAGAGAATAGAAAAAGAGAAAAAGCTACCTAACTCATTTTATGAGACTAGGATAACTTTGATAGCCAAAAGAAATACAGAAAAAGAATTATAAGCCAATCTCTCTTATAAATTAAGAAAATTAAATTTAAAAAATTAAAATCAAATTTAACACTATATTATGAAAAACAAACAAACAAAAAAACATTCATTATGACCAAGTAGGACCTTTGGGGAACACCAGGTTCTAGAGCCAGTGTGTCTGATACTTCCTAGCTGTGTGACCTTGGGCAATTTACCCAACTTCTCTGTGTCTTGGTTTTCTTACCTGTAAAATGTGTGTAATAATAGTTACTACTTCATAGGATTATTGTGTAGGTTAAATGAGTGAAATAAGTCAAGAACTTAGAAAAGAGCCTCAATTAATTGTCAT